TATATATATATATATATATATATATATATATATTATTTTTTTTGACATTTTTTGATCGGTCCTTCTATGCGGAGTAACGCGACTTAGTGGAATCGAAATCCGGTGGAGAATGTGGAATCAAATAGACTTAACCACTTGACTAAAGACACATCTCCGGTTAAATGTTTATTTTTTCTAATTTCGAACCATTTTTTGTGAAAATCTAGATTTCATTAATGGAACCGTTTATGCCATAATTGAATATGAGATTACTGAAGATACCTTCATCGAAATTAATTAGATGATGTAGATTAAAATATATTGACCGAGAGGTATATAAGTTAACGAGTTAAAATATCTTCTTTTTTTTTGAATACTTTTTTTTTTTTTGAATACTTTAATCACTAAATATTGAAAAATACTAAAAACTCTATTTATTATCTTATAGCACAAAAATTAGCCATATCTCATTTCTCACATATTCTTCTTATGTTGATGATATACTTGATTTCAAAGTTTGGAATGGTTGTAGAAAACTAATTAGCTTACGAAGTAGACGTTTTTTTGCAATTTATTCATTTATGAGAAACACAAAGCTGTTGGAACACGATGCGATGAAGCATAATCTAAAGTCGAGGTGACTAAGAGTCTAATTAAGATTAATATTTTTTTTTTTTTTGATGAAATGTGAAATTGATTGAGAGAATAAATACGTACAAGAGAGTTTTGGAGCTAGCTAATATACAATGAAAACAGAGCACATTTAGATAATATTTCCAAAAAAGATATATAAGCATGTATAAAGAGAGAGGCTTGTAGACATTTGAAAGTATGACAAACATAAAAAAGTTCACTTACAAACAGAAAATTTTAAGATATACTAGGTTTTTTAAATTCTAATGACTATCAATTCTTCAATTTTATTTCATGGAACGTTTTACTCTTTTACTTAAGAAAAATGGTTGTCACTATTTATCTTCTAAAATTGATTTTTATGAATTGATCATGATCGGTAATGCATCATCATTGATTATTGAATAGAACCTGAAATATTTGAAATACTTAGCAAATTAAAAAAAAAGGGAAAAAGCTCTTTTCTCTCTCTTGCTTCCTCGGTTTCCGTTCAAACCCTGTTTTCTTCCGTTCAACCATGGCCGGAGACTCCTCACTCCGACCCCCTCCCCACCCTCCTAACCCTGGCCTCTCCTTTACATCCCCTTCACCTTCACCAAACCTTCCCTTTCCACCTTCCTCTTCACTGACTTCTTCCAGTTTTCAGTTTTCTGCTCAAAAAATTTCTTCTTTACCGGGGGCTGTTGCCCAAGTCCAAGCTCAAACTACCTTGCCAGTTGTTGCGAGGCATACTAATACTACTTCCCTGGCTGATACTTCTGCTCTTCCAAGCTTAGAATCAGCAGGTACTGTTACCGCTACTGTTCACCAAACAGTAAACCCTAACACTGTTCATTCGTCTTCTTCAGTCAATGGACCCAATATTACCCAATTGGCAGTGAGACCTCTAGCTGCTGAGGCATCTACTCATCCTCCTCCTGTTAACCCAGCTGTATCTCGTGCTTCATTTGGAACCGTCAAATCTTGGGTGGGAACAGTTAAAGCAACAACTGATAGGAAGCTACAAAGGATTGCTGTACCGACCTTATCTCCAGAAGGAATTCCGAGAATCCTAGTCCCGGATGAGGTTTTTCATAAAGGAGCAGAATTGCATAAGGACTTCATCATTGGAATTTTTATGGGCAATACTCCTTCCTTCAGCCATATCCAAAGTGTCCTCTCTCATGTTTGGGGAAGAGGACGCAGAATGGAGATCCATCTTCAACCTAAAGAAAGATCAATATTGGTGCGTATCCCTAATGAGATTTTGCGGAAAAATATTGTTGATCAAGAGATTTGGTATATTAGGAATGCCCTCTTTTATGTAGCCCAATGGTCTCCAAATCTTGCTGTCAAACCCCCATCCATGGAGTCCATTCCACTGTGGGCACATGTTAGAGGAGTCCCATTTGATCTTATTCATAAACAGGGCCTAAGCTTGGTTGCTGGACTCATTGGTGAACCTGTTGAAACAGATGATTACACAAGAAATTTAACTAACCTCGAGGTTGTTCATGTAAAGGTCAAAGCAAATTGCATCAAACCCTTACCCTCTTCAGCTGAGCTCTTGAGGCAAAATGGTACTGTCATTCCTCTCTCTGTCGAGTATCCATGGATTCCACCTACCTGTCCAAACTGCCATCAACTCGGCCATTTGCAATCTCACTGCCCTACTTCAAAATGGATGCCAAAACAGAAAGGCAAGGTCATTTTTCAGAGGGAATCCCAATGGCTTCCAAAACCAATTTCTCCTCCTCCGCAGTCTTCTTCCCCTCCGCAGTCTTCTCCTCCTACTGTTTCTCTTTCACCAGTTGATCAAATTGTCATAGAAACTGTTGAAGCTTCTGTAGTGGCAATGGACACAGAAGCTGCGGAACAAGCCGTCTTAGAGACCGCCAATGCTTCCATAGTGGGAATGGAGACAGAATCTGGTGTCGATCCCTCAGTTTCTCCTGCGGATGTTGTTGGAGGTTCAGTTCCTCTTGAAGCTGATAACACAAATGTCATCACAATAAGGAAAGATGAGATTACACATTTACTTGCTCTTCCGGCTCAGAATAGAATCATTCCTACTTCTCAGGTCTCTGTTCCTATCAAAGAGGACTCTTCTTGGACCCAAGTTTCTTCAAAACCTGCAGCCAAAAACCATGTTGTCAAAAAACAGTTAGTCACCACTAAAAGAAACTATTTCTCTTGTTTAGCAAACCTTGAGGATGCTCCTGCGTCATCTTCATCGTTGATGGAGGACTACCCCTCATCTAACCTTGTTGTCTCTCCTAATTTCACAATCTCAAATACCCAAGCTTCTCCCCAAACCCAAACCCATCAACCCTTTCAGCTTTCTATTACCATTACCCAACCCCAAAATTCTTTTGAGCCTCCAGCTCCTTTAACTTCCTTCTCTAACGCCACTTCAAAATCCTCCCATATGCCTGATCTGTCTTTGCCAATCCTAAGTATCCCAAATGCTTTTAAATCTACCCAGTCTTCGGGTTCTTCCCTCTCTAAAGGGGAGTCTCATTCCTAACCTTTCTTATGTCTATACAAACTTTTTTTTGGAATGTCAGAGGAATTAATGACACTGAGAAGCATCAGGCTTTTAAGATCTGGCTTAATAGTAATAAAGTATCTTTTGGAGCCCTTTTGGAAACTCATATAAAAGAATCTAATCTGAACCGTGTAATGACAGATTTATGCCCATCTTGGTCTTTTACCTCAAACCATTCGGAGGATGCTGATGGTAGAATTGTAATCATCTGGAAAGGTCCTCTAGTAGTCAATGTCATCCATAAATCCAAACAAATGACTACTTGTCAGATAAGCTGCACTGGAATGAGAACTTTCTTTTTTACTACGGTGTATGCAGCAAATACTGTGGAGGAAAGAGAGGTCTTATGGAGTGAGTTGGAAGCTATTCAATCAGCCCTTGCTCTTCATTCAGTACCGTGGCTCTTAGGGGGAGATTTTAATGAAATTATTCATCACTCTGAACACTCCTCTGCATCAAAGAATCAGTTCACCAGCAACATGATAAAGTTCAAGGACTGCATTCAAACTCTAGAAGTCAGAGATCTTCGGTACTATGGGCCAACTTTCACCTGGACTAATAAACAAGATTCCAATCCTATTGCCAAGAAACTTGATAGGGCACTAATCAATGAAGAATGGCTCTCAACATTTCCTCAAAGCCTAGCAACCTTTCTAGCCCCTGAACAAATCTCTGATCACTCTCCCTGCCTCATCAGCCTAGCTTCTCCCCTTCCTGTAACTGGCTCTAAACCTTTCAAATTCTTTAACTACCTTACTTCTCACCCAAACTTCTTATCTACTGTAGCCCATGCTTGGATTTGCTCTGAAACTGAGGATTACTCCCTAAGAAAAATGAGTTTTAAGCAGAAGAGATTGAGAGGGGATTTGAAAGCTTTAAACACAAACAATTTTTCAGAAATTCAAAAGAGGGTTTGCGAGGCTAACTGTTTGTTAAAAGATGTGCAGGTGCTTGCTCTGAACCAGCCAACAATTTCCAATTTTGAGGAAGAGAAGAAATGCCTAGAAAAGTTAGCAATGCTCAGGGGAATTGAGGAAGCCTTCTTTAAACAAAAATCAAGAATTCATTGGCTAATAGTTGGAGATCAGAACACTAATTTCTTTCACAGAGTAACCAAGGAAAGAGCGGCTTACAATGCTATTCATTCACTACTTGGCTTGGATGGCGTCATTGCAACTACCCCGAAAGAGATTGGAGAACTTGCTCTTTCCCACTTCAGAAGTATCCTCAGCCCTTTTATTTCGCCTTCAAATCCTTCTCACAGCTAGACTATTGCTGCCTCTTACAACTATTCTTGCACAACAGAGGAGATTCAAATACTTAGTAGGATTCCTTCCTCAGAAGAGATCAGGAAAACTATTTTCAAGCTAAACCCTAACAAGAGTCCTGGTCCTGATGGACTTACCTCAGGTTTCTACAAGGCTGCCTGGACTATACTTGGTGAAGAAGTTGTAGGCTCCATCCAATCTTTTTTCGTGAATCCAGAAATGCCCACATCAACCAACTCGACCATTCTTACCTTGATTCCAAAGACTCCAGGAGCTACTTCTATCAAGGACTTTAGACCCATATCATGTTGCAACACTCTATACAAGACAATAGCTAAACTACCATATCATGTTGCAACACTCTATACAAGACAATAGCTAAACTACTGGTCGGAAAAATCAAACCGTTGCTTCCAAAAATTATTCTGCCTAATCAGACAGCTTTCATCAAAGGCAGGGTTCTGTTAGAAAACTGTTTATTGGCTGCAGAAATTGTCAACAGATACCACAAAGATCAGGGGCCAAAGAAACTCACCATCCAAGTTGACATCGCAAAAGCGTTTGACACCGTGAGATGGGATTTCATCCTTTTTTGTCTTTCCGCTCTCAACCTGCCAGAATTATACATCCATTGGGTCAAAGAGTGTATCACTTCTCCAGCCTTTTCAATAGGAATTAATGGTGTAATGCATGGCTATTTTAAAGGGAGTAGGGGTTTAAGATAAGGAGACCCTCTTTCCCCTTATCTATTTACTATAGCTATGAATTTTCTATCTCTACGACTGAATGAGGCTGCTGACCAAGGTCGGTTTGGTTATCACCCAAAATGCAGAGAATCTAAACTCACTCACCTCTGCTTTGCTGACGACTTGTTGATCTTCTCTGATGGCTCTCCTGCCTCTGTCCAAGGAATCATAGATGTCTTGGCTGAATTCCAGACCCTGTCAGGATTAGCTATCAGTCCTGAGAAGTCTTGTTTCTTTCCTTGTGGGCTTTCTGCAGAAGAAATCACAACTATTGGCAGTTTGTCTAGGATTCCTCAAGGACACCTGCCCATAAGATACCTTGGTCTGCCCTTGTGTACCAAAAAATTAACAATTGTTAACTGTGAGCCACTTCTCCAAAGGATCAAAAGTAAGATATCTTCCTGGACAGCAAAATATTTATCTTTTGCAGGAAGATTACAACTTCTCAATTCAGTTATTGTGGGCATTACTAACTTCTGGTGTGGTGCGTTTGTCTTGCCTAAGAGATGTATAAAATTAATTAACTCAATGTGTAGTGCATTTCTGTGGAAAGGAACTTTGGAAGGAAAACATGTAGCAAGAGTATCGTGGGAAGTAGTTACCTCCCCCAAAGGTGAAGGAGGCTTGGGTGTGAGAAATTTATTGCTCTGGAACCGAACTTGTTCTCTTAAGCTCCTGTGGATGTTGTTGTTTAAGACTGAATCAGTTTGGTCAGCTTGGATTCACCAAAATGTCATCAAAGATAGAAACTTTTGGGACATTAAACCAAGTCAGGTACAAACATGGACATTCAAAAACTTACTTAAACTTCGAGGGCTCACTATTAAGTGGTTCAGAATCAGTCTGGGAAATGGTAGGAATTGCAGATTTTGGAGAGATCCGTGGACTCCCTATGGACCTCTAATCAATTTCATCGGAACTCATGGACCTCGACTTACGGGTATTCACTCTGGTTGAATGGATCTTGGTTTCTTCCCCCAGCTCGATCAGACCGATTTGAACAGCTTCTTCTACATCTCTCGACCATAAGACTCAATGATTCTGAAGACATCCAGCAGTGGTGCATCCAAGACGCTGTTAGAGAGGACTTTTGCTCGGGACTGATCTACAATAGCTTAAGAGAAGTAAAACCTCTGGTGGATTGGGATAAAATTGTCTGGATCAAAAGAGGAATTCCAAAACATCGAACACTAACCTGGCTTTTCATCCTCGATCGATGCCCTACACGTGATCGACTCCTCTCGTGGGGTCTCCCTATTGATGCGAGTTATCTCCTTTGCAATCAAATGGCAGAATCAAGGCACAATCTTTTCTTTGCTTGTAGTTACTCTCAGGCGATCTGGAGACCTCTTTCTTACTCAATTTTGCAGGCTCACTTGAGCGATGACTGGACAGACCGGCTTCAATCTCTCACCAACTTCTCTGGGAATTCACAACTTCGATACATTCTTCTCCTTGCATGGCAAAATTCGATCTATGAGATCTGGAGAGAGAGGAACTCTCGCCTTCATCGCAATACTCATAGGTAGCCGGAATCAATCACTCGTATCATTGGATCAACTATCAAAAACAGGATCTCGGCGTTTAGACATCAGAATCCGACTTTGGCAAGTAAGCTTATGCAACTATGGATGTCTCGGCAATAAACGACAACAGCAGACCATCGTTTCATCTCCCTCTTCATTTGGGCTCTACTACTCCGAATGGGCTTTTCTTCTCTTAATGGGTTTACTACCTTCAAGGGCTTTTTAATTATGGGTTCATTTATTTTTTTTTATAAGGATGCTAACTAGTATGGGTTGTAATTTATAAAACACTTTCAGCTTCGGCCATTTAATTTTATGCAACAAATTAACAAAAAAAATAAAAAAACCTGAAATATTTTTTTTTTGAACGACGTACTAACATGAATGACAACAATATTATATAAATGTTATGTTTACGTCTGTCAACAACATCATATCAATTAATATAATTCAAGAAAGAAAAAACCATGAAAGTTTATATGTAAAAGAAAAAGAAAAAAGAAAAAAAGAAAACTAAACGTACGATTTTTATTTTGTAAGAAAAAAAAAAAAAAAAACAGACGTCAAAGAAGAATCTCTTTCGTTTTGGCTGGCAGCAGCCACGTGCCACATCCAGAGTATCCCACCGTTGCGTTGCGCCTCACATAATATAATCTTATCTCTTTGGTCAAACGGTCAATTATCAAATCTTCACTTTAACATTTTTTAATCTCTCGTAATAATCAAATATAAACACAATAATGTAACTATAAAGTTACTACTTAATTTATTTATTTAAACACAAGCTAGCACGCGAGCAGCATGTGATTATTATTGCGTACATAATGCACTTCCCTAACCGACAAATTAATAAATCAAAATTTTTTATTATTACTATGCATCATTATTTCTTAACAATAATTCCCCATAATTAGTGTAAATTTGTAATCATCAATCAGAAAATACGCGTTGGAATATTTTTATAAGAAAATACAAAATTGGTGGTCTATGAAAGGAAATTTTTACAGCTCATTTTGATAAATAAAAGTATATAAGAGAAAATTATTTTCGGTGGAAAATAAAAAGTATATAAAAATTGTCAACCATATGGGAGCCATTCTTTCTTGCTGTCATGCAGTACTATTATCATTATATCCGTTGGCTTTGTTTTTTTTTTTCTTTTTTAAGGGTCAAACTTATTTATTTTCTTTTATTTTCTTATTTTGCTTCAAATTTAATTAATTTATGGTCACCGACAAAAAGAAGATTAAAACTCTCTAATGAAGGATAAGGTATCTATAAATTCAGTGGTTTAGTAATATATTAAAGAAAAGTATGAAGAATGTTATTCGGATATATGATACTAAAGTAATAAATGATTGCTTAACAAATTTAAATCATCTTATTTAGGGTATATGCACTTTATTATTTCTTTTAATTAATTAAATAGTTACTTTTTCAATTAAGTATTTAGCTTCAGGTAGAAGAATGTGAGACTACATTCACATTGATCATAATCTTATTGGTTTCATCCGGATTTTAAACAAATAACATGATATTTATCAACATCACGTTAGTTTGTTCTCTATTGATTTACAAATTAATTCTAAACGAGGACACAATTTTTAATCAAATACCATTTAATATTATTTCTCATGTGAATTCAAAAAATATTTTGTTCAAACTACGCATTAAAATATTGTTCCTTTACATCATTTTGCCACAAAATCATTTACCTAAATAATAATTAAAAACTTGAAAATATATTACTTTAGTGGTTGATCTAAGTCTTAATGTTTCAAAACCAAATTTAAAGTTTAATTATACCAGATTACAGATACAAAATTTATCGGAAATTTATGAATACTACAAATAGAACTATTTAGTTTTATGTTTTTCTGGATAAAAGTATTTATTATATAATATATGGAAAATCGTTATGTGTTAAGAAAATAATATTTATCGTTGAATTGTCTATAGAACTATTACTCGTAATCGCATCTATTACATGTAATTATATTTGCTCGATAGTATTAGAATAAATTTTCTTAAAGCTTAACTAACCCTTAGATTTATTTATTTTTTATAGTTTTTTTTTTCTTCGCATTTAGGCAAATTTACAGGCGCATTGCGCGGCTTTATTTCTGGTAAAATAATAGTCAAAAATAACAATAATAAAAAAAAAAGAATTAATTAAGCAGTAGCAACCTAAGAATTATAGCCGTTCTCTTATGTCTCTATCTCTCTTGGCTCTCTTCTCTTTCCTTTATAGCTTCCTAGTTTCTCCCACTTCTCACTTCCTTTTCCCCGAATCTGATAATGTAAATTCACAACACAGAAATTTAAACAAATCTGTTTAAAATCAACCAATCAAAACCCAACATTGCTGTTTCTTTGCTTCTCAACAAAAAAAGCAAACCAAGAATTTGCAAGAGAGAAAACAAGAAATGGATTTGTTCAAGATCCTGCTTCTTGTGTTCTTCGTGAACATAAGTTTCTGCTTCGCTGCAGATCCTTATTCTTTCTATAACTTCGAAGTCTCCTACATTACTGCTTCTCCACTTGGTGTTCCTCAACAGGTTTCTTCTTCTTCTAGATCGTGTTACTGTTTCTTTGGATTTACAGTTTGTGATTTGAGATTTTGAATCAAAGTTTTGGTTTTTCTTGTAGATTTTGATAAACCCTTAATTTCTAGAGAGTTTACTGTTGATCTAACTTTTAGGTTACTATTAATGGTAAAGAAATTGTGATAAAGTTTCTATCTTTGTTTGTGTGTATTTTTAGATTTCAGATTTCTCAAAAGTTTCAATCTTTTTTTTCTGCTTCAGGGCATACTTCAAAATTCATCTACAAGAAAACACAAAACACTTTTAGTTTCTTGATTTGTTGAAAGTTTTATCCTTTTTTTAACCTGAATGAAAGATAAATAAATCTTTAGAGTAGAAAAAGTTTCAGTCTTTTAACTCCAGATCCAGCTGTAGGAAAAGTGAAGTGTAGATCTAAAACCCAATTAGGGTCCTAACAATTTCTAAACAAAGCTAATTTTCTATTTTAATTACTGTAATCAGGTCATTGCTATAAATGGAAAGTTTCCTGGTCCTACAATCAATGTTACAACCAATGAAAATCTGGTTGTTAATGTCAGAAACAAATTGGATGAGGGACTTCTTCTTCATTGGTAAGAAAAACCACAGAAAGGTTTAGTCTTTATGAGACTTAACATTGTTGTGAAGAAGAAAGTTTTAATGAATGTGTGTTGATTTTATAGGAATGGAATCCAACAGAGACGTGTTTCATGGCAAGATGGAGTTTTAGGAACCAATTGTCCTATTCCACCAAAGTGGAATTGGACTTATGAGTTTCAAGTTAAGGACCAAATTGGGAGTTTCTTCTACTTTCCTTCTCTCCATTTCCAGAAAGCTTCTGGTGGTTTTGGCTCCTTCATTGTCAATCCTAGAGCGATTATTCCAGTCCCTTTCTCGACTCCAGACGGCGATATTACCGTTACAATTGGTGATTGGTACATAAGGAACCACACGGTTAGTAGTTTTCGCCGTTTTAGCCTTCTCGAAAGCAATTAACATTTTGAGAAGTTTCTTTCCATCATTTTGTAAGATTGTGTGAAAATGTAGGCTTTGAGGAAGGCTTTAGATGATGGTAAAGATCTTGGAATGCCCGATGGAGTTCTTATTAACGGAAAAGGACCTTACCGATACAATGATACTCTTGTTGCTGATGGGATTGATTTCGAAACAATCACTGTCCATCCTGGTTAGTATTATTAGCTCTCTTTATAATCCAAGAATCTGTTTTTATTTGTTTTGCGGGGTTTTTTAATGGACGATACTCTCTTGTGACGGTAACAGGGAAAACTTATAGACTTCGAGTGTCAAATGTGGGAATTTCAACAAGCTTGAACTTTAGGATTCAAGGTCACAACTTAGTTCTTGCGGAATCTGAAGGATCGTACACAGTTCAACAAAACTACACAAGCTTGGATATTCATGTTGGGCAGTCTTATTCATTCTTGGTTACAATGGATCAAAACGCCAGCTCCGATTACTATATTGTTGCGAGTGCTCGGGTTGTTAATGAAACCATATGGAGAAGAGTCACTGGAGTTGGAATCTTACACTATACCAACTCTAAAGGAAAAGCTAAAGGTCACTTACCGCCTGGACCACAAGACGAATTCGACAAGACTTTCTCCATGAATCAAGCAAGATCCATCAGGTTGGTTATCCGAAAATCGAATTCTTTTTCCTTGTAGTTTCATCAAGTTTTGACCTTTGAATCATACTTTGTTATTGCAGATGGAATGTATCAGCAAGCGGTGCACGTCCTAACCCGCAAGGCTCGTTTAAATATGGTTCAATCAATGTAACCGATGTCTACGTTCTGAGGAATATGCCGCCTGTGACGATTAATGGGAAGCGAAGAACAACTCTTAATGGCATATCGTTTAAGAATCCTTCTACGCCTATTAGACTAGCCGATAAGTTTAAAGTTAAAGATGTGTATAAGCTTGATTTCCCTAAGAGACCTTTAACTGGACCGGCCAAAGTGGAGACTTCAATTATCAATGGCACTTATCGTGGATTCATGGAAGTCGTTCTTCAAAACAATGACACTAAGATGCAAAGCTATCACATGAGTGGCTACGCCTTTTTTGTGGTCGGGTGAGTTAGTTGACTGCAAAGTCTCTGCATTTCTTAAGCATAATCTAAAAACATCGAATCTCTTATCGGTATCTCAAGGAATTTGGCATTGTAAATAACTCTCTTGGAACCGTTTTGTTTGCTTGCAGTATGGATTACGGAGAGTGGACAGAGAACAGTAGAGGAACATACAACAAATGGGATGGTATCGCCCGCTCCACTATTCAGGTAAACTAAACGTAGACAAAAATGTGTATAAAAGATTCGAAGGTTTCGCCTTTCTAAAGGCCAATGTGATTGATTGTTGGGGTGGATATTCACAGGTGTATCCAGGGGCATGGTCAGCGATCTTGATATCAATGGACAATCCTGGAGCTTGGAATCTAAGAACAGAGAATCTTGATTCTTGGTATCTTGGACAAGAAACTTATGTTAGAGTGGTTAATCCAGACGAAAACAACAAAACCGAATTCGGGCACCCTGACAATGTTCTTTACTGTGGTGCTCTCAGCAAACTACAAAAGTAAGAATAAAAAAACTTCAATCAAGATCACACATTGTTTACTGTTATGTTATTGATTTTTGATTCTTTTGTTTGTTGTTGTTTCAGGCCACAGAAGATTTCATCATCGGCGTCGAGAAGCATTGGATTCACAAGTCTTTCAATGGTGGTGATGGCTTTGGTGATGATGATGATGATTCAGCATTGAAATGTAATTTGAGGGTTTGTTGTTATTTGATAGGGTTTTGTTGATATCAAACCAGAGATGATGATTCTTCTTCTTTACGTTTCCACAGTTCTCTTCTAGTTGGGGCTTGTTGGATTTCTCTGACTTGTTTATTTTTCTTTCTTTTGGATTCCATCTGTTGTTTTATTCTTTTTTCCCGGGATTTGTTTATTTGAGAAGAAGAAAAACAAATATTCATTAAAATGTTTAAATTTGTTCTAATTAAGCTTCTCTTATATATTGATGTTTTAAAACAAAAGCTTTGGTTACTATTGTTTAATTTCAGACCAAAATTCAACAATTGTAACCAATTTGAATCCAAATTTTGGCTATGTTTTTGGTTTCATAAATATATTAAGCAAATGCCTAAATGAGTTAAATTGGTGGTCTAAAATGTCTAAACACCGATTAACTAAAAAGTCGTCGAGTTGTTTTTTTTTATTGACTAATTTTTAAACCAATATAGTCGAAATCTAAACGATATTAGTACAAATGACCATACTACTACATGTTTTGTTTTGGTCTAAACCGTCTAGATGCCCATTAGTTAATACTTTTCCAATTTTTTAATCAATTTAATCAAAAGCTAAACCAAACTATACAAATCACCAAACTACATATAAACACTACCATTTATATAGAATTTTTTTTTGAACAACTACCAATTTATATAGATAAAATGAAAGAAATGTGATTGGATCATTTTTATATAAAAAACAGAGGAAATTGGAAAAGGTATGCATTATGGATTGATTTCTGAGGTCCCAAGGTGGGAATATAATTAGTTATCTTTTTTGGTTGGGAGTTTCAGCTTTTGTCTCTCTGACAATTCCAGGCTGGATCCTTTCTGTATTTTGCTTTCCTTTTCTATCTTTGTCCCTTTTTTTCTCTTTCTTGCCAATTTTGAAAATGGACAAGAAAAATACAATTTTCTCTGATAAAAGTCATAATTGAGAAATTTCTGGTGATTTTTGTAAATGTTAAAAGAAAAAACATGGTACCATTACAATCTCTGACAAACTGGTTCGATTGAATTGATTAGAATATTGTTGTACTTTGAAAATTGGAAAGTAATTGGTTTTATAAACTTTTTTTCTTTAATTAGATTTTTATTTTATTATTATTATTTTTATTTTTTTGACAACAATAGATTTTTTCGTTTTTTGAAAGAGAGAAATATACCATTAAAGATTGTTACAAAGAACAAAATAGTATAAACAAACAACTCATAGTATTACTATCATCTATTCATCTTACCATGAGATTCACAAATATAACGAGCCTTTATTGGGCATAGTATTATACTTGAATGGCATCAAAACTATACTTATGGGCCACAATAATTTATAATGCTTATTTGGTCCTAGACTCCAATAATTTATTTGAAATTGGGCTTAAGGAAAATGTTTTTGTTGAAGAGTATGTTCACCTCCCGATTAAGCTACCAATAAATACCTGATGTCATATATGATAAGAATTTTTTTTAATAATTTACGAAAATTTTCATTATTTTTTACTGGTAAGAAAAAAATTACATAATCACGTATGTAAAACGTAAAAAGGTGAAAATGGTATATACTCGTTCACTATTGTATATCTTTAGCATTGTCATTTACTTGAAGCGTAACTACAAAATTAGCAAACATTAGAATTAATGACGTATCTCGGACCTGATGAGTGATGAGTAACTACTATATTACTATTTACTAATGATTGATCCGTGGTATCTAATGACCAAGTTATTTTGTTTTTTTTTGTTTTTTTTTTTTTGACATCTTTGGATCGACAAACTCCGATCCATAATCAATCATTACTACGCGGGGTAACGCGATTTAGTGGAATCGAACTCTGGTGGAGAAGGAGAAGTCAAATGAACTTAACTACTTGACTAAAGACACATCTCCATTTTTCTTTTTTGTTAGACCAGTAATTAACTAAAAAATATTCTATTAATCTATTTAACTAGTAATTAATTGGTGGTTAGTTATTCTAATTTATTTATTTTAAAAGGGTTAAACAAAAAGATTATAGCAACAAAACATTAAGATCCCTGATAGGTGGATTAACAACAAAATTACTAGAACTTGGAAGATGCCAAAACATTTATTTATTTGTACTAGGATATTACACCGCGGGTTAATCATTTGATTTTTTTTTTTTTATAAATTGAGGAATTTGTTGTGTATTTTATTTTTTGTTGTATACCGCGGATCAGTTTTTTGTAACTAAATTTTAAAAATTTTATGTTGTATTTATTTCTTTAATATATAAGATTGTATAATTGTATTTGAATGTTAATTGTAGGATTTCACCCGTGGTATACCATCCCGTATTAATATCGACCTAAACCCGTCCCACCATATAACTCTGTCCCGTGAAATTCAACATCATTTTTTATTTTTTTTACAATAATACTTTTATTTAAAAGGCATATAATTCGAGTCAATTTAAAAGTTTGCTTTCAAATGGTCCCACTAATATACATATTTTTGGAATTTAATAGAGTTCATCTATATTATTAATATTATCAACTTTTTCTAGAATTTAAATATTATAAATACTTTAAAATTTTTATAAATTTAAATATTTAATAAAATTTTCACTATAAAAAATAATTAATCGCGGTGTACAGCGGGTCAAATATGATGATTTAGTGCAAATATATCAAATTTGGCTTGATAATAATTAACCAATAAAGATTAGTCCAGGCCCATATAATTTGTCATGTCATCAATTACAATTACGTTTTTCTTCCCATAGCCCATTTGGTAAAATACGGTTCAAGCTGAAATCGAAACTCGAACCGGACTGTGATGGTGGTTTCAGATGGTGGCGAGCGAGTGAAGCTCAACGTTGGCGGCGAAGTCTTCGAAACCAACGCGTCAACAATTCAGTCATCTTGCCCAGACTCTCTTCTTGCGGCTCTATCGACTCCAACCTCCCATGGCTCAAATCCAGTTTTCATCGATCGTGACCCGGAGATTTTTGCCGTCATTCTCAATCTCCTCCGTACTGGTCGACTCCGAGCTAATTCCTCCGGCGCAAGCAAGAGCTACACGATGAGGCTATGTATTACGGCGTCGAATCACTCCTCAGATTGGCGATGTTACCGCCGTTGCTGCTAGGTTTCGATATGGATCTGTTTCGATGGAGGCGGTGATAGCGTATAGAGAAGTTGTGAAATAGATGGAGGCTTACCAAGAAATCAGCAAGAGTTTCCAAGCCGATATGGATCTGTTTCGATGGAGGCGGTAATTGTGTTAAAAACTTGTGTTAGGAATTCCACCCACGAACCAAACCTCACGGTAACAGGTAACAATTGGCTTATGTTCTCTAATTAGATTGTAGATTTCTCGAGTACCTTACATGTCCCTTTTCCGGTTATTTGGCGACCAATCATAGTTATCCCGATTTTCTGTGATTTGAAGAGTAGAAAGTAAAGATTGAACCATGACTTGTGATATAAAGAAATGTTCACGTTTTTCATTCAACAGAAAGAAGAAGCTAAATATCTTGATCATGGTGGATGGCTCTTACAGTATGAAACATTGGTTTACATCAGGTTAGTTCTTTCAAAATAAAGAGTGTTAGGAGAAATATTGACATTGACATATATTATTGAGAAAAGCAAAATAGAAACTTTGAAAAGTTGTAAAACACAATTTATTCAAAAGCAAAATGGATCAAAACAACTGAAAACCAAATTAAAACTCCAAACCACAGTAGCAATTCACTCTTTTTACTCAACATGTCTTGTATATTGGCGCCACAAGTGTAACACTTTCAACAGGTCTTCCACTCTCTCATATCCCTCAAAACAGCAAATGATGCAGCCATTGTTGCTGGTAAGGTTTCTGAACTTGTAATATATTGCAATTTGGTAATGAGAAAGAATGTGTTTAGAGAGTGGAAAATGAACGACTATTTATAGAGTTTGGATAAATATGTTATAGGGTTTAGAGAATATTTAAAAATCTTGATGAGCAAGCATTTCGTATAATTCGAAATATTTAAATTGGGAAATAAAGAGAATATGCTAGGTTGATGCTTAAACAAATTAGGATAAAATCTTTTGGTTATGAAGCAATTTCCTTTTTGATAAGGTAAAATGAATATCGAATTATATGTAGGAAACAAATGATAAATCTATACTATTAAAAGGGAATCATTCTAACTAAACTAACCCTATAAAGTGTAAAAAATTACAATATAATGCCATTGGAAAATTTAAAATCAACGACTAAAAAACAGAAATCGTCAGAGGGTATAATAGACAATTTTAAGGCCAATTACACGCGGATCTTGGATCCATTACCAGCGGATCTTGGAGCCAGCAGTCGGATCTCTATCCAGAAGTGCATAATGAGCTTACTGGGCTTAGTCGATGTTGGGCCTTTATATTTCTCTCGCATTTAGTAGATCTGCATTAATTCAAAACATAATATTAGATTCGTGATTACTAAAGATATTTTCCATAACAAACAAATCTATATTTACTAATTAACTAAACCGATATTTCGCATTTAGTAGATCTGCATTAATTCAAAACATAATATTAGATTCGTGATTACTAAAGATATTTTTCATAACAAACAAATCTATATTTACTAATTAACTAAACCGATATTTCAATAACAACTCAATCCCATATATTTAGATGATTTAAAGAAAACTTATCTCTTAATATTCGATTTCCTTGATTTGTTATTACTTTAGCCAATAATAACAAACTCTATATCTTCATATCCGAATAAATTAAGCATATACCTTAACTATTCTTATTCTCAAATCTTCTCTTAGACGAGAATTTTCTAAACCCTAAGCAACCCTATACTTTCTCCATTTCTTATAAATATAGAAATCAAACGACATTCTCAATACACACTAAGCTATCAAACTCAAAGCATACCTCTCAAACAATGGCTCTTCCCATCACAGAACTTAATGCAGTCAAACCATTCAAGACTCAATGGAAGATCCAAGTGAAAATCGTCCATTCATGGACTCAATACACCCAATACTCCGGGGAGACTGTCGAGATGATTCTTGCTGATACATCTGTAATTTACGATTTATCAATAGTATAGATTTACTCTTCTAATGATTATTTGTAAATAAAATGTTTAATAATCTTTTTTTGCTAAATACAGGGTACCTTGATTCATGCAACTGTCAAGAAACAACAAGTCAACAAGTTTCAAAAGCTTATCACAACTGGAGAGTGGAGAACTGTGGAAAATTTTACAGTTGCAAAATCTACTGGAAAGTACCGGCCTACCAGCCTCCCATTCAAGATGACCCTCATGAATACGACTGCTATAAGTCGTATTCCCTCAATTTCTGATGACCTTTACTTTGATTTTGCTAACTTTCCTGACATTCTGAATGTTAATGGATTGAATGAAAACATTTTGATTGGTATTTTCCATTCTGCCTATTTCTTTCTATAGTGTTTAAATCTTAAGAAAATAACAAACTAACATCATTTCATATATTTACAGATGTTCTTGGTCATGTCGTGAGTTTAGGTGAGATGACAACTCACGATGTCAACAACAAAGCCACCAAAAGATTTGAGTTTGAGCTGCGTGATACAAAGTTTGTAATCTATTTACTCTTTTAATTTTTACAAACAACTGTCTATTTTTAAAATACAAAGTCTGTCATTTGTCTATTATAGTGATGAACGCTTGACATGTACTCTTTGGGGGAGATTTGCTGAGAGAATGTGGGATGCATGTCAAAATGGAAGCAATGAAAGGGTCATTTGTTTGATTCGCCTTGCTAAAATTGGTACATTCAAAGGTATATTGATTAGGTTTTTGGACGTGTGGATGCTTAATATGTTTATATTATTAGTATATATTACTAATATATTGCAAATTTATCAGGTGAAAGATCTATTTCAAATGCCTTCAACATGTCTTTGTTGGAAATAAATCCAAACTATCCTGCTGTCCAAGAATTTGTGAACAAGTAAGTTTGTGAAAAAACTTATAATATACCTCAAGGCCATGCTTTTCACATGGCCAACTATATGTGGCTATCTCAAGGGTAACTTCAAAGAAAGGACTGAAGATCCTAATAGTGGATAAAGAAGGCAAACCGCAGAAGGAAACGATGAATGTGGTGTTTAAGGAAGTTTTCCAGAACCTATAAGACTAAGCGTTGGAAGAGACATTTGTTCACAGAGGTAAGAACCAATATGAAATGATTCTTATATTTATCTGTTATACTATACGAGTTTCTGATTTCTTTATGTCTGAGCAGGTCAAACAAGGTATGAAAACGTGTGTTTGGCAAATAAAAGAATCAGTGATTGAAGTTTCAAGAGAAGAACTGATACCCAACCCTACTGTTTCTGTTATTTTCATGTTTTCTTTTTACATGAATTCGAAGACATATCTAGCTTATAACAGCTTAACTTTGTTTTTCAAAAGTTTTCTGTCCTAATACCTTCATATTCAGTAATATGAAGTTAACTATTTCCTATTTATAAGTAATAATGGTTATTATTGCTAACCAAACAGTCCGATCAATTATAATATCTCACAACTTACTACTTCTATTAACAAACAAATGCAGAATAAAGCTCCAACAGCATCACAAGAAACGAAATTACTGTTTAAAATTTCTGACATAATTAATTTGTAAGTATTTTATCTACACTTATTCAACCAAATTTGGAAATCAATAGAGTAGGTCTATATTGTTATCACCTAATCAAAAGTGTTATGTTTAATATCTTACTAACCTTTTAAATATAGATCTCTGAAAACCTCCAATTACAACACCAAATCTCTTCCCTCCTTAAGAATCCAACTTCAAACCGATCATTTGTCTGCAGATTTTTAACAGTTATCAAAGTTTCATTAGTACAACCATATAAATCATTCTAAAGACTAAGAAACATTGCCGTTTAAAATTAAACGGATTCTACCAAATTATATTTCAAGAATGCTCCAAATTGAACTGTTACTGCTTCAGCTCCATAAGAATTATGTGCGCAAAATTGTACTTCGCCTGCAAACATTGAACTTTGTATCATGAATCTAACATTCAGCTAAAGAATAATGAAGCAGGAGCATTTCGCAATAAAGTTCTCAAGTTATACAATAATCTGGATAAAAAAACTTATCTTCGTTATTCTTCTTCTTTTGAGAAACCATCGAAATATGGCTACTAATCTGAAACAAGTATAAAAACAAAAAAAGATTATAGATTTACAGCTTAAAAGATATACTGAAATTGATTAGATTTAGTCTATTAACACTATGAATTTTGAGAAGAAACAGATTGATTGACTAACTAACATGTTTAAACAAAACGAAAGATGTAAAAAAATTGCATGCAATTAGATATGAAAAAGGTAATAATTAATCAAATTTTTTGAAGGGTTATTCACAATCGTTGTATAAGATCTATAATGAAACAAGAAAAAATCTATGGTAGAAACCCAATCGACAGATTCCAAAAAAGTTCAAACAAAAATCAAAGAGAAGAAAAGCTTACCTCTTTTAAGATCTTATAATTTGCAAAGAATTGATGTATAAGCGAAGACGATGGAAGTGGATTTCGGATGGATTTCGATACAGCTTCGTCGATCGGCCGACAAAGATTATTTTCTCAGATTGGAAAATTGTCGAAGGTTTCAGACAAAGAACAAAAAGGAGTATCTTCCCAGATAAAAAAAAAACATAATATGAAATAATGTCAGGACCAATATTTGTGTGTTTTACGGCCCAACACAAATATTTATGATGAATGTATATGGCCCATTACGACAAATATCTTGAATTTGGACCAAGAAAAAAAACAAAATGTGACCATGTTAGTGTAAAATTGATATTAATCATTATAAATTAATAGTATAGAGTTGTATCAATATAAAAAAATTAATAGTATAGATTTGATATTTTTTCCTTACTATACTAATTACTAAACACATAAATTATGTTACAAAAAAAATTTAATTTAACAAGGTAATGTTTTGTAATACCCAACTATTTTTATACAAAATATACCGGAATACATATGTCTCGAACGATTTGATCAGTTCCCAATACTAATATATTCAATCCGGTAATTTGTTACATAAATCTATTTTAAATAGTCATAACAAATTCAAACTGATACACACATTCGAAACCTAGATGTCATAAATTTTATACTAGAAAATCGTATGGTACAAAAACCCCGCACGTACGTGCGGGTCTTGATCTAGTGTAGCATTAAAATAGGAAACAGTTTGCCTTACGAAAATCAATTTGTTATAACTACATATACTCTCCATATCTTGAAAAAATCAGAGAGTAAATGTCGTTTGGATTTAATGTAGCGAGTATCGATTAAGGAATATCCGAGTCAAATAATTTGGGTAAAATAATCAAAAATGGAAGGATCCGATTGACAGATATCCGGGTCAAAATAAATGATTTCCGGGTCATAATTTTGACCCGATTGGGGACCCCAAAAACTGTTGCAAAAATGTATAGTAGATTGTCCTCTTGCCCACAAACAAATCTGACGCTGACTTTTGTTAGCTGTTCTTATTTATCTTTTGTTCTACAATTATAGGGTTGATTGCCACTTGAGTTTGGCTCGAGTCGCATTCATCACGCTATTACCCAATTTGCTCTTGTGAAAAAAAAAATCGCTTAATCTACAAAACTATATGTTATATATATAAAATAATAGTTTTTGCGCGCGAGGTACCTGGTCGGGTGGGAAAAATGTTATTTAATAGCTCAACTTTTAAATTGTGGCCGTTTCAGACACCAACTTCATATATGGCCATTTTAAACATGAAGATATCGTTGACCAACCATTTGAACCATAAATATTTGTTGACCAGGCCAAAAAGACAAGCCGTTATCAGTCGTTAACAGATTATCTAACATCCGTTAACACCTCCGTTAACCACTCAAAAACGACGTCGTTTTTGTCTTTTAAAAATATTACAAACCTAAGGATTCGAACCCGTCACCTGCGAGTGCTCCCTGATCTTAATGAACCAACTAAGCTAGAGTGTTTTAATGACTATTATTTACAAACACATAATTATATACCCGGATGCCGTTAGAAACATCAGATCCGGTAAGAGCAATTGCAGAGCAGATACATAAGGTGCGACAGCGAAGGTGCATGTGAGACGACGAAGAACTAGTGCATGTAGTTTGTGTTGCTGATTTCATATGAATCGACGAATCCATCAATAGTGTCCATAGAAACAGGTTCCGATGAATTGAATTTAGCAAATTTGAGATCTTTTCAATCAACGAAAAAACGATATGGTTAAGATTAAAGAGAATCATACGAGAGAAAACGCAGATTCAGAGGCGGCTATGGAGATGTTTTGTTTCGTAGGTTAAAGATGAAGAAGAAGAGCTCTAAGAATATATAACTATATGTGTTTCTATAGAATTACCAATAAAACGCTACAGGTGAATTGGTTAAGTACCCTTTGGTTTTTCTTTAAAGGTTAGGGGTTCGAATCCTAGGTTTGTAATTTATTTTTAAAAGACAAAAACGACGTCGTTTTTGAATGGTTAACAGAAGTGTTAACAGATGTTAGATAATTTGTTAACGATTGATAACGGCTTGTCTTTTTGGCCTGGTCAACGAATGTTCATGGTTCAAACGGTTGGTCAACGATATCTTTATGTTTAAAATTGCCATATATGAAGTTGGTGTCTGGAACGGCCACAATTTGAAAGTTGGGCTATTAAATGACATTTTTCCCCTGGTCGGGTTAACAGTTTAACACAAAATTGGGTAATATGAATTAAATGATTTAAAATGGTAATTGGGTAATAACTATAAACATCTACATGGTGCATGTTAATAGAGACATTAAAATTTTAGTTGTCATGTCACATGTATTAGATTTAGTAACCTGGTTAGAGATTACGGGTGTGATTGATATCATGACTTACAAGATTGCATATTTATTAATTCTTAAAAGATTTTTTATTCTCTCTGTTGGCGGGTAAATTGAGAATACAATTAGCATATCCTCTTATTATTAAAAGGGAAGTACAAATTGAAAAATGGTCTAATTTGGCCTCAATTTCAATTTCAATTTTGGATTTTGTACATGGTTAATCAAAATCGTCAAGGGTAATTTGGTCAAAAAAATTTTGACTCTTCATTAATCGTATAGGATCCGCGTGTTTTCAAAATGGGTGGGTCTTGGATCACATAAGATCTAATCAATACACAATTAACTAATCGGGTTTGATCATCTACAAAAATGCTTTCTTGCAATCCTAACCATTCATCATAATTGGTATGTAATTAAAAGCATATTCGAGCAAAAAGATTCTCTATATCTCGCCTAATAAGTAAAAGATATTCATGTAATATTCATTCCAATATAATCGTAATTATAAAAGACTCCAAAATATCCTTATTTCTCCTAAAAGCGTGAATCATTCATTAGTTTACCAAATACGAATATATGTTATTTACCGTATCTTATATTTTTTGCTTTTTTCCAAGATTTTCGGAAATCTTGGATCCAAAAACCCTAACAACCTACTACACTATAAATAGAGAACGTCATTATCGTTTCTAACTTATCAAATAATTACTTATATTCGTAACAAACCTCTCATTGTTCCTTTTTGTTTTTCAAACAATGGCACAATCAACTGCTTTCCTTGACGATGTCAAGTCTGCTTGGAGAGGTTTGAGTGCAGGTGCATGTCCTTCGTACCTAGAAAACACTCACGACCAAATTTAGTGAAAATCTACTTATATTTTTAATAACCATCTCTGTTTATGGATGCCAGAAACTAAACTATCGATTCTATATTTTGAATGTATACAGGTTACCAAATGATGGTTTTGCTCTCACAATCTTTGAGAGCAAGCCTAAGCCGGATCTGCAAGTGGATGTAGCAGGACATTTTGTATCTCCAATTCCCTAAGAAGAACATTAAAAAAAATGAGAGATGTTCGAAGTAATATATTTTTCTTCCTTTAACTTTTAAGAAATATGCAATAGTACTAATTTTAATACCCTTTTGTAGTGCAGTCTGAGATGGTTAAGGTGAGTAGGTGACATGCACCATCTACATCTCACTCCCAATGATTTAGTTTTCTTCTTAACCGTGCAAAGGTAAGGACTTTGTTTCTTCACTTTCATATTGCAACATATTCATTTACTTCATTTACGAAATCACGCATGTTAGATTGTTTAGCAATATTTAATCTTATGCTTACATAAATCGATAAATGACCTTAACTAGCTAATAACTATATCTATAAAGCGCCTACAAGAAATCTGAAAACAAGTGTTTGTAATCAATTTGCAATTCATACTCATACAATTGAATCAGGTATATTTCACACAATATAGATTTCATATCAATTAACATCATTTCCAATTAAATAATTGATTCTATAGCCAAAATCGAAAAAAATCTATAGCACCATGTATATCAGGCACATACATACAGAGAGATAGAATTACTGATTCGTTGAGTTACTAACCCGTTATCAGCAAGATTGATTAGTTTCGGGCGACACATCGTAATATCGTATCATGAACAATGATGACAACAAAAGAGTTGGAATCCGGTAGATTTTTGTAGAAATTTGTGGTTAATTGCAGAAGTTCTGCAGATCAGTGAAGAAAAAATAGGGTTTTTCAGATATGAATAAGCAAACAGACGAGGAAGATCGGCGAAGATTTGATTTTTGATGCTCGGATTTAAACAACAGATGGGTCTCTTGCCGTCAAGAGACTGCTTTTTTCGATAGTAACTAAGAACAAAAGATGTCGTTTACAATTCTTTTAAAAAAAAAAAAAAAATTATTCACCAATGACATTTACTTTATTTACACAAGGCCTTATTTTCCAATGTAATGTAAAATCAAGCCCGACGTTTAGTCTTAGATAAATAATACTGTTTGCCCATTTAATATTTATACTTTTTTTAAAAAATTGAAAATCGAGTATATTTGAAATATTCTAAACAATCCCATATATTTAACTTGGTATTCCAAAAAAATAATTATTCTAAAGTACATAATTATACTTTACTTCATTCTTGAAATATATAAATAATGCTCAAAATTCTATCCATTAATTTCTTCGATTACATTATGTTTGTAAATAATATATATATATATATATAATTATTTATTATGTATATGTGTGTTTGTAAATTCGATAGACTACATAAAATACTGATTTATTCTATTATATTAATAAAAAGATATTACAGGTCGGGTAATAATTCAGAGATAACGTGTTGAGTAACCGAACAAGTAGTAAAAAATTCAATACCTGATCCTTACCCACGGGCAATAAAAGTATAATGACTTTAAGGTCACTGGTACCCTTATTTTGAAACGGGCCGAATATAGATAACGAGTTTTATTGTCTGGCCTTAAATTACTATACCTACAAATCATCTTATTAAATCAATATAAATTAACACATTTACTTTGCTAATAGAACCACTAAAAATGTCTTATATTAGTTGACTACATTATAATTTCTGCTAACAAATAATTAATCAACCACACAAAAATTCCTATATTTATTTTGTTAAAAAAATTACTTATACAATTTAAAAGATATAGTATAAAAACCCAAATAAAAACCTTCACCCGCGGCGTACCGCGGGTTGAATCCTAGTGATCATTTATAAGTAATTCTCTGTAATTCTGTATACATACATATTTGTTCGATATCTAATTATCTGTATATTTATGTCTAATTATTTGATCAACATTATAGCGGGGTTTTGTCTCCTGCTTATAAATCACTAAATATTGAAACTGTTAACTAAGATACCAAAATAAATATATAATATATGTCATTAGTAGTCAAGCAAAGTTTGTTTAAGCAATCAGTAGAAGATACTAATTGTTAATTTTCTTACAAAATCTATTGCTCTTGTATATTGGATTCTTTTACGACGTCACATGTGTGTGAACAGGATTCAAATATTTATAGAGTATGAAATTTACGTTTAAATAACATGGGAAGATAGTTAGATAGATAGGAAGAGATGACGAATGTATGGTTTCAATATTAGGTAAACAAAAGTACATAAAAATGTTAGTTTCTATCCTTCCCTTCTATAAAGGCTCCGAATTTCTTTCTTCTTTTCCCCTTTTTTCCTCTCCAAATAAATTGAACACGTTTTCAATTGTTCTATGAGAATGTAAATCGTGTCAATTGGAGTATCGTTTTCTTTTGAAATAGTGGATGATGAAAAGAGAAAAAAATCTAGAAAAGTGTGTGTTGTATATGCAACGTGTGTGGTTTTTAGTAATGCCTTGACCATTCATTAAACTCTCTTATTCTCTACGCATTATAGTTTCGCTTTTTCACAATTTGCAAAGTTTTTTTTTCACAAAAGAATGTAATATTGATCTCGAGAGAAAGGAAACAAAAATGCATGGATAATGATCATACACGAATAGAGTTAACATACAACCAAAAACAATATGAGTTCAAAAATGCATGTTAGTTTTTTTTTTCTTTAATTACCAAGAAGTTCTTCCTCTTAGACCAAAGCCTAAAGTATTTAATATGATTTTCTCCCAAATGTCAATCGAACTAGCGATCTCTACGTTTTGTCTAAAATACTTTACCAGTTGAGCTATTGACATTTGATATATCATTGTTAGTTTAGCCATTTACAGTTGTCAACCATAATTTGTAATCGCAGTTAAAAATAACTCAAACTCTCCCTAATGTTGATGTCTTGACTTATGATATAGTATGAATTAGACACAGAAGAAAAAAAACGTGTCAAAGAAGTATTAAGTATCCTTCCATTTTCCAACATAAAAAAATGTTAATAATAATTGAACTAGTCTATGACTATAAGTTATAATTATGCAACACAATAATTCTTAAACTGAACGAAGCACTTTCAGTGAATCAGGGCATGTTACAAAGATTGCACAAGCCGTGTCGACCGCCGACCAAATCCCACACTATGTCCCTCCCATACATTTGCATGCCTTTTGTCTTCATCGATCTCTCTTTTTTATTTAATTCTTATTATTCAAACTTTCATTTTTAACCCCTGTTCTAAAAATCCCCGCCTAGACCCGATTACTCCCCGCTTAATCGCTAGGCCCACCCTATCCGCCTCGATTAATGACTAATTCCTTAAAGAAATCAGTCACCCGATTACTCTCCGCCTAATCCGATTATTCCCCGCCTAATCCGATTATTCCCCGCCTAATCTTACATACCCCGATTATTTTTAGATTGCCATTATAAAAAAACTTTTTATTTTTGTTATTCAATCATTTGAATTGGGAGTTTGTAATGTTTTACAATAATTTATGTTCATATTTTAATAAAAATCATAAATATATGTCTCAAAAATACATTTTTATGTGTTTACTGCAATTTTAAAAATAATATTGGATTAATATGTTTTAAAAATATTAAAATAACCCTAAAACTAATCCCCGATTAATCCCCGATTTTAATCCGATTTTCCGATTAATCGCTAGGCCCATGTCGAACGCCCGACTAGCGCCTAGCGATTTTTCAAACAAGGTTTTTAACCATATAAACATTTGTGAAATTCATTTATTTAATCAACATATCTGAACTCTATCTGTACACTTTATTTATAGATGCATTGTTCCAAGTTGTCTTATCACAACCATTATTAAATCTGGACTAGTTATATAGAAAAAGCAAAAAAAAAAATCTGAACTAATAACAAGTGAGTTCATGTACACATATGATATTACATAATACATATGCTATGTATTATTCATAAGGACCGACGACATACTAAAACTATCATGGAGTATATTATCAAAAATCAAATCGAATCATCTAGATACTTAAATTACAACAAGAAACATGTTACTAACTCAACAACATAATCATATATTTCTTTAAATCAAAATATAATAATAAGATTCAACTAGCTAGTGGTTGATTTTAATGATTATGACATGTCAAATTAAATAATAAACTTGTTTTTTTGTAAATGGTAAGCATCTTTTTGAATTTTTCAAGTTATTCGATGTGGTAGATTGATGAATTTGGTAACCAAGCTTGCGCAATCACAGTATGCTGGTGGACATAAAACTACGTTCCGCAATAATCTGATTAGTAAAATATTGCAGAATCATTTTGGTTCACGAATAACATTCAAGGTCTAACACGATGCTTAGTAAAATAGTGGAATGATAAGAAAACTAAAACACTACATCTGAATAGAGTTTATCCAAGATTATCATGAAATACTAAAACTCTGGTAGATGAATGATTTTTCTTTATTTTCTTTTGAAGATAACACGTTAATCAAATATTTTAATGATTTTGGATCGTAAGTTGAATGTTTTGAATAAAAAAAAAAAGAAAAGTTAAAAAGAAACAAAAATTAGCCAAAAAAATTGAATGCTCTTTTCCCTAAATTTTAAAAATACAACATAATTCAAAATATAACAAAAAATACGAAGCTGAATTTGGAAAACTATCCATCAAAGTCTCAAAAAAGCACACGCACACATAATAACAGTCATAGCTCAAAGGCTATATAAGAGGTTACATCCTTCCCCAAACCCAAACACTCTTCTTCTTCAACCCTTAAAACATAACACACACAGAGAGCTAGATACCAAAAAAGAACCAAACTTTTCTCAAAATCTTTTTCTTTCGAATCAAACCCATTTCTTGAAACTCGATTTCAAACAAACCCATCTCATTGTTTTCTCCAAAAGACAAAATCAAAATCTGATCAAACCAAGCATGAAGAGAGTCAGAGGATTCAAAATTGGACACAGATTTGTCAAAATCTTTAAATGGATGATTCTACCAAGAAAACGTCAATGCCCGACCCGAATCACAAACCCGGTTTCTGGAATCCGGTCATTAGCACGGTGTTTAAGCCGTGGAGCTAAGAGATTGTGCGGTGGTGGTAAGAAGAATCCGGGTCAGAATCAGATCCGATTGGGTAAGGATCCGAAAACGTCGAACCGGGTTGCTCCGAGAGGACATTTGGTGGTTCATGTCGGCGAATCAGACGGTGACACGCGGCGAGTTGTGGTGCCAGTGATTTACTTTAATCATCCGTTGTTTGAAGAATTGTTGGAGCAAGCGGAGCGGGTTCATGGGTTTAATCAACCGGGTCGGATTACGATACCGTGTCGGGTTTCGGATTTTGAGAAAGTTCAGATGAGGATCGCCGCATGGGATCATTGCCGTAGGAAAAGTTCGTACAAGATTATATAATTTGAATTAATGAAATAGTCAAAAATCAAACGAGGATAAAAAAAAATAGAGATGGATGTTTTTTTTTTGAATTTGTGAATACTAATTTTTCATCTATGTTATACGATAAATACCGATTCATAAATGAAAAAATTACAAGATCTACCACATTTTCCCTATTTGTTTCAAGATCTACCACATTCTTCTCCATCTTTCAACTCATACCACATTTGTCTGTGAATTGTCAATTTTGCCCTCACAGACAGTTCCCGCCTGCGCCTGGCAACGAGTTGACATTCGCACCTTCTCGTTTCCCTATTAACCCTCGAGACCCGTGCAAAATTACACCCCACAAACTTCTCTCCCCTGCGAGAAGTGTAACCGCTTTCGTCTCTCATTCACTTTCCCTTTCTCTTTCTTCTCCTTCTCCTCTCATCGGAAGTTAGTTACGGTAAACCATTTTCGGCAGATTCTTTGAATGTAACTGACACTCGATTTTGTCCCTCATACTTGATTAATCACAAGTTAGTTTGTAGTCATCTAATTATTGGTTCGTAGTCATCTAATTTGACTTAATCGTGTCGTCCCCAATTTCTAGGGTTTCTGTCCATCTGCATGCTCCTTTTCCACTGTTCGATTTTCAAAGAAATTCTTAATTTTTTCTTCTGTTTTCTCTCCTCCGCCGCAGATGAAGTCCTCCTCCAGTAAATTGAAACAAAAGTCTCCGCTTGGAAGTTCCAGGCGCCCGGTTTCCTTTGAAGACGACGACGACCCTTTTGTCTCCGCCAAGTCAACCGCGACCCACTCAAATTCTCCATATCAGCCGCGACCGGAGATCCCGGTAGTAATTAGGGACAAACTTCCGAAAAGGCTCTACGCCACTGACTGCTATCCGCCTCTCGGACGTATTAATGCTTATTCAAAGCCGGAGTATCTGCTCGATCTCGTCGAAATCCTAGAAGGGACGAAAGAGTTAAATTATCTCCGCGCCTCATGCTTTGGCCCGCTGTTTCAGCTTCCTGTCCGCAAATGTTCGTTTTCCGGCAAATTAGTACATCAGATGTTGTGTAGAGGCGTCTACACAAGGAAAAAACACGAGCTATGGTTTATTTTTGCCGGTCAGCCATTCCGTTTTTCGTTAAGAGAATTTGCCATTCTCACTGGTCTGGATTGTCGGCCGTATTCTTCACCGGCAGATGTATTGAAGTCGCAGAGAGAATGTACCAAAAAACATCCGTACTGGAATATTCTCATAGGCGAGGACCACACGGGTGTCCTCATCAAGGACATTGTTGACTGGCTGAGGAAAGACAAGATGAAGCCCAAGAAAGAGAAGATGGATGACTGGAGAAGGCTTCGTCTCGCTCTTATCGTGATCGTTGAAGGGGTATTGCTTTGCAGTTCCCAACCTGTGAGAGCTTCTCTTCAAGTTGTCGAAATGGTTCAGCATTTGGAGTCGTTTGAAGCGTTTCCATGGGGACGAGAATCATTCCTTCTGACAATGCGAATGGTTAAGGTCAGTCAGAAGGTTAACAGTCTCTCTGCCCTAATTGCGAAGTTCAACCAGTCTCACTCTTCAACCCATGGGTTCCCTCTTGTCTTCCAACTGCTGATGTTAAAGGCCATCCCAGTTTTTGAGAGATACCTTAATCAACCTGATGATACGCAGACTATCATTGATGGGTCAATCACTACTTTGCCTCCGTTGAAGACTTTTCACAATTCCAACATAATGGAAACAGAGCTAATTCCTGGGGTAATTATTATTTTTGTCCTTCTCGTGAACATTATTATTTTTTTACCCTAGTACCCAAGTGTTTACTAATTAATTATTGAATTCAATGTAGTTAAGGATTGCCCCGCTGTTGTCTACTGATGATCCCCCACACCCATCGATCAACGATTGGCCTGATGAAGTCTCTGACCCGGCGATTGACTATATGGAAAGCCTTATTGGTGGCGGATACAAGTTCTGCCAAGCTGACTGGATTGGTGGGTGTCGTACTTGGCCAAAGATAGTCGTTGATGAGAACCCCAAAGAACCCAATGTTCGCAAGACCAAGAAGGTACCTGTGAGACGTCCAAATATAAACTCTGACATGCCTGAGTTTCCCCAGGGTGGTCCATCTGGTTCATCAAAAGGTAAAGGGAAGGTCGATGAAGACTTTTGTCCCCCAGCAGGGACTGAAGGTAAAGATGTTCTCCATGCTCTGATCATGGAAGAAGTTAATTCGAAGTTCCGTGACATGAAAGAGGAATTGAAGGTTGAATTGATGGGTGAAGTTTGTCGGATGTATGGAGTAGAGAAGTCTTTATTGAAAGACGAACTCTTAGACGAGATTATTAGCAATCTGCGCCATGGTGGGAAGTTTCCAACAACCCCCCCTCCGAAAGCTGCTTCACCAGGTAAAAACAAACCATCTGAGGGACAAACCTATGGTCCCCCTAATAATGCAAATGTAAACAAGGAGTCCGGGGGACACACAGATGTCCCATTAACGAACGCTGTTACTGAGGGACAAACGCATGGTCCCCCAGAAAATATAAATATCAACAAGGTCCCTAGTGGGCAGACCTCTGATTCCCCCCATGTCCAGATAGACCCTCCCGCCCCAAGTTCTCCTCAATCGCCGTCTAAGGGGAAAAGTAATTCTCAACTTTTGGAGGAGTTTCAGCGGCAAGCCTGGTCTGAGTACGGAGGAGTGTCTGATGTTTTACAAAACCTCAACCAGTCTTATGCATCTCCCTCTGGTCCTGCTAAGTCTGGTCCGTTTGGACCTTCTCCTGGTCTTGTTGCTTCTGGTCCTTCTACCATTCATCCATCTCCTTCTGGTCCTTCTTCCTCGAAGTTCTCTATTGATCACAACGTAAGTTTCCTTGTTGCTTCTGGTCCTTCTCTATTGTTTTGACGTTGAATAACCTCTGTTTCTTACATATTATTCAGCCAAAAGACTTCCAAACTCCATTGCCAACCATTAGTGAGGACAACGCAGAGGAAACCGAGGACGAAGAAGTTGCAGATGAGGTTTGTATATTACATTTTTTTTTTGTCTACCTCTTTCTGGGAATGGTTCCTAAACCATTTTACACAGGTCCTGGTTGGAAAGTCTGTTAAAGAGAATTTTCCTGAAGATCACAACGTAAGTTTAACTAAAGTCATTATTTGTTTTCTTATGTGGTGGAGTTTTTTATTTTTCTAATCCTTTTTTACTTTTAATTCTCTTTACTTTTAGCCCAACGACTTCCAAACGCCTCATCAAGATGTAGAGGAGATCAGTTCGGCTGATGAATCAGAGGACGATCAAGATACAGAGCAGGTTTGTCTCTGTTTCAACGTGGATACCTGTGTCTTTCCATGGATATGATCCTCTCTTCTAATCACCTATAACAGGTTGCTGGTGGAAATTCTTTTGGTGTGTCTGAGGACGTGGGATTTGTTGGTGAGGAGAGAAGGGAAGCTATAGAGAATAAGTCTGTTGGTGTGTCTGAGCACGTTGATGTTGTTGAGTGCGAGGACAGAAGAGAAGAAGTAATTGAAAAGTCTGTTGATGTCTCCGGGGACGATGTTGAGACTGAGGTTTTAGAGGATAAGTCTGTTTCTGGGGACCACGAACCCAAAGAGGGTGACGAGAGTAGTGGTGATAGTGAAGGAAGGTCTGAAGACGAGGATCACCAAGATGAAGCTATGGACGAGGTATAATACTTATTTCTGTAATAACTAAAACGCAAATTCTAATTTCTTATCCCTAACCTGTCGTGCCCATTCATCTAGGCAAACAAAGCATGGCCGCCAGAGCTTTTTAAATCCTCAAGAGGTGCTGATGAACAACTGGTTGACGATCAAGAGGTATCTCATAAATTTTCAGCATTTTAATTGTGGTTCTGTTTGTCCCTTTCCCTAAAATACCTTTTTTTATAGGGAAATGCTACTGGTGGTGTGGCAATTTCAGAAAAAAGTCCCTCTGGGAAAAAGAGAAAATCCTCTTCTCTTGGCGGGGATTCTTCTAAGCCGATCCTCCCTCCCAAAAGGGCAAGGAATAAACCCCACCGTTTCCGTGACCCTATTCCAGTCCAGGGACAAGAATCCACAGGGACCAACAGTGTTTCCCAATCAACTGATGAGGTTTTGCACCCGTTTGTCCTAGTAAATGATGATCTTCGGAAACATTTCTTGTCCACTCTGAAATCTTATCGCCAGAGGTAATTCAGTTTCTTATTGAATTCATTACTTACTTCTTTTTCCCCAAACCTTTAAATTACTATTTTCCATTAATGGTCAGGGAGTTCGTCCTCGATGCACATGTTGTCCCCAGATCATTTTTTAAGGATATGCTTACTCCTCACCATTCTGTCCACCAAGAGGTACGTTGTAAACCAATGATACCTGCATTTTATAATATCATGTCCCTTAAATTAATTATTGTCCTCTATACAATCCAGCACATCGATGCCATGCTAAGCCTGTTGGCTCGGAGGTTTGGGGATACTTTGGTCCAGAGTAGGTCTGCCATACTTGATTCATGGTTTTCGATTACCCTTAGCGAACTCTATTCTCGTTTCAAGAAGTCCAAAAGTAAATCTGAGTGGCCGTGGAACAGTAAGATACGGGACTACGTCAGGGGTATAGTCCCTGGCCGATTCACGAGACAGGCTTGGTTTTCTGATGTCGACACTCTTTACGCGCCTTTACATCTGTCTGGGGGCCACTGGGCTGCGCTTGTCATAGATCTGAAAGAGGGTACCATAGGTGTTCTTGACCCTAACGTGGCTGCCAAAACCGACAAACAGATGGGCGTGCTCATGAAACCTCTCGTTGTGTTGCTTCCTTTTATCATCAAATCACTTGTCCCCCAAGATGTTCTCTGCAATCATCAAGTTCCCCCTGAGTTCGCCTTTGATCGTCTTCCTGAGATCTTTCAAAGCGAACATGAAGACGACAGCGGCCCGCTTGCTATGAAGTACATTGAGCTTCATTTCCAAAACATTAGTCACGACAGCATAACTGAAGAACTTGTGGAGAATATCCGGATGAGATTTGCTGTCGACATCTTCGAGGAGTTTGTTCAGCCTCTCCGGCTGTGATCCCCCTTTCAATATTTCTGCTTAAGAACTTATGTCTTTTTGTAATAATTATTTACTCTTCTTGGATGCTACTTGGATGCTTAGGAACTAAATATTTGTAAACTGCTATCTATTTAGGAACTACTTGGATATTTAGGTTGTCTTCCGCAAACAGAGATCCTGTCTCCTAAAATATTCTATATTATGTTGTCCTGTCGCAATTTTGGATAGGCAATTTTTACAAACAAGTCAACGTTTAGATACCCAATAACAACAGTAGAAGCCAGTTGCTCTTACGCTTCCCCATGATTTTCCTTCTGTGTTATCACATCAGCGAAAAGGTAACTTTTTGCAAGGTAACTTTTTGCTTAATAAATTTATATTATATTCTTGTCAAGATTTTTGGGCACCAGTCTCTATTTATCTCTCCACATTAATGATCTCTTCATCTACACAATTATACCCTTTCTCTCAAACTCCCCCCAGCCTACTCCATAATTTCTACCATCTAATTGTTTCCCACGAACCATGGGCCTCCATAGTTATACCCAGTCGAACGATTCATCCCGAGAATCTCTTAGTTCTTATGGACCTGTTTATCCCGGGCCAATGTCTTTTGAAATTCTTGGTATACCTCGTCACTGTTACTGCGGAGGGACGGTCGTACTTGCGAATTCACTCTCCGAGGACAACCCTGGCAGGCAGTTTTATCAGTGCGAGAAGAGAGATGTAAGTTTAAATCCCACTCTTACTAAATTCAATAATTCGATCTACTATAGTTACATTTGCTATGTTTGTATTCAGGACCGACCTGGGCGCCATCTTGTTAAATGGTTGGACGAGGCATTTATGGAGGAGATTTCTGCGGTTAAGTGCTCTATTAGGGAACAGGAAGAACACCTTAAGTTCCTACTTACCGCCCCTAACGGGGAGCACATGGATCTTGCCTTGATGTGCGATCGTCTGGACCTTTACCAGGAAGACATTAAATTGCTTCAGCAGAATTTATGTCTTTTGCAACGCTCCCCTCGTTCCATTGTCGACGTCGCTCGTTCGTGTCCTAAAATCATCGTTCTCGTCCTTGCGATTATTGTCCCCGTAGCCGCGTTCGTGCTTGGCACTTATATGTAGCTTTAATAGCTCTTTTTTCATCCCTCGGCTATTATGTCCCCCATTTTTTCATCATGTTGTCTACTGGGGACTATCGTGTAATGTTCGTCCCTCTTTTATTGTAGCCCGAATTCTACAAGTTATCTATATTTAAGATATGAAGCTATCACTTAGAGACGTTCGTGTCCTCCCAACGTGTTTTTGCTTACACGCGATTATTGTACCCGAGACGCTTCCAAGCTTCGACTCAATTCTACAACTTATATATATTGTAAAAATATGAAGTATCAAGATATCTCGCCCCAGATCTACTTATTTCTATGCCGACAAGCTACCGTAAATTGTATATTCACGTCCCCCAATGCAATACGAAACTGCTAAACAGTTATCCCTTAGAATAGTTAATCACCTAGTAATGAGATAGGTCTTGTCACTTTAATTAGTATTTACTTTTCCACATTCATTGTCCCCAACTACTAATTCAAAATCTCTAACAGCAGCATTCATTGTCCCCAACCATTAATTAGTAATCCCATCTATATATAGGTAAGTAACAACATTCATTGTGCTAAACCATTCCTAATTCCAATTCCTTGATATGTTTTTGTGGCAAAAGCTTCCCAAACATCTTAGAGTATCGATTGTCCTTCTTGTTGGTAAGTCATGTTACCGACACTTAGGTCCCCTTATTCTCTCTGGGAACGCTGGCATGCGTCTCGCACTTGATCCTTCTGTTTTGCGGGAGACTTCTCTGGCTCTCCTTGAAGCGCATCCTCAAAATGTTTTCATCGGTTCACCCATTTACTTCTTTGTTTTACGATGTGTAAAGGCTGGAAATCCTGCTGCTTGTTACTTAGAGAGCATTAGGCTCGCTGCAGTTGAAGGTTTAATCAAAGAAGCAATGCACATGCTCGCTCATATACCCGATCCATCCGACAAAATTCTTTTCACCAAGGGTCTCTACCTTGTCTCTATTAATAGACCTAAGGATGCGATCATCGCCATGAATCTATTCAAACAAGAAGTTGTCTCTTCTCGCAACGCTGATCGTGTGGCCAAGCTTGTGATATCCGATATTAAGAAGATTGCCCCAACCCAACTTAGATTCAACTGGACTGGCTATACGTGCTACTTGATCCATCCCCCTCGTCGATATTCAGAATGTTCCAACTGTAATGTTTGGAACCCCTGTCCTCTCTGTGTTAATTGGTGGGTCTTATGATTTGTTTGTTTTTCCTTTATATGGTCTCCCATATATTTTTGTCTTCCGCGAAGATGTATATGATAAATATATATAGTTTTTGTTCGATAAGTTGTGAGATGTGCTTGCCAAAAGATACCCATACATGTCATACTACATCCAATTACCAAAAGATAAATATATATTAGTTATACTTTCCGTGTTAAGCCATGGACTAAAAAATTGGATGTTAAGCCATGGACTAAACAAATTTCCCGTGGCCTATCCAACCTACGTAACGATAAACCCTCTTTTCCGCAATACTTCATGGACCAAAAGCCGCCGAAATATTATTCCCTAAAACTTAGATAGGATTTTTGCAAGTTGCTCTGTTGTGGCCATCCTTCCCACATGTGGTGCATTTGTTAGGTTTTTTTTTCTTCCCTCCTTTGCCCTGCAACACATACATGGACACAATTAATTTTTTTGTGTTGAAGGACAAAACTCATTTAAGACTCTTAATTTGTTACCTGATACTCTCCCCGCGATGGTATGCGTACTGTCTTTGGTCTTCCGCCTGGTCTTCTTGTTTTTGGTGGATTCACAACCATTTCACTAACTACGTTTGGGACCTCCGTGTCTTTTTCCTTAGGCGGAGGTAGAATATGGGCACGCCAGAGCTTACGCCACTCCGTCACGAATGCATAGTTCCCGATCAGGGAGTAAATGTCCACGTTCCTTATCCCCACCGCGGCTAAAGCGTGACAACACGGCACCATTAGCACATCAAATACTCTGCAAGTACATGTTTTTTTCTCTAGATCCACAGTGAAAACGATACCAAAACCGTCGTTTACTTGATAAATCCATTCACTTGCTGCTATGACAGCACAATCTGTCGCTAATTTCAGGTGATCTATTAGCATTTCCTCGATCTCTGGCGTACATCTTGTCCTCGT